CGGGCGGCGCTTCCAGGGCTTTGAATCGCACCGACTATTCCGGCCCTCCAACCTCCCGCAGCCGGTGCATTTCGTAATCACGGTGGGCCCCCTCAGAGAGGAGGAAGAAAAAATGTACACTGCAGCTAAGTAAAGTTGAGCGAGGAATCATAATTACCGACGTGAATGAAGTGTGGTATGAATTTCGATATCGCGGTGGAAGCAACTTGAAAATTGAAGAGGCCCAATCGGACTGTTCATTCGGGCTCATCAGATCAATGACTATCGTAGTAGTCGGATTTAGAATGGGTAGCACGGGGGGAAAAAATGATGCTAACAACTGCATTTTTGGCTGATTTTGGCGCCAGCTAGAAGTGCACTTACACTTGCCAGAAGTATGGTTGTGTCACTTGAGTCAGTCCGAAATGCCAAATTAACCATATTTCTGGCTAGTGCAACAACACCTCTAGCTGACACCAAAATCCGCCAAGAATATAGTTCAAATTATGATTAGGTATCATACTTTTTTCCGTGAAACATTTACACAGAAGTCATGATCGATACAATTTAGGATTACGATATAAAAATTGAAGGGAGAAAATAGTTTTTTCTCATGGAGAAGAGCCTTTTGGATGTAAAGAGGTTGGCAGGGGCAGGGACCGCACGGAGCTAGGGAGCGATCGCCGCTTAAACTTTGGCCAAACAGGCTACGAGTGAGATCCCATGAAGACAAAATTTGGGGCTTCATTTGGCTTTTTATCTAGCTGACCCCTCCTCCAAGCGAGGTCAATTTATGACTCATTTTAGAAACAAATCATCTGCCATTAGGCTCCCTGTGCAGATGTGTGCTTTTATGAATGAGCGAGAAATAGTAGTTCCGCATTACAGAATGTAGTCCGTTTGGGATGGTTCTCCTTTACATATGAATTTATAGCATTTTCAATTAATCATTTCCATGTCCAGGAGAATTCTGGAGATAACATTTGAGCGAACGTAAACGAATCCAATTACCTTTCGAGTCGGCAGCTGGAGTTGAAAAGTATCTGATGTAATGATCAGCCGAGCTCGTGGAGTCGGACCACGTGGTCCAGGCCCAGCGTCCACTCCTGTCGTCCTCTGTCGATGCCGCTCGTTTCGTTTGGGCGCGAAACGGCGTGTGCCCTTGAGCCTGCAGCTTTGAGCGCGCGCGCGGAGCAAAGACCTCTGCTCTGAGCGGACCTTCAGCAAGGATCAAGCGAGGTCGCCGCGATCAGGAACCTAAAATAATTGCTGAAATGCTCGCCAATGATTCTCTTGACGCAACCACTCAACTTCAAACATCCTCATCCTCGTTGCTCGCGCCGGCGCCCCCGAATTCGCGCTTAAACTCGAGCCGAGGACCGTTCACGAGGTACTTGAAATTCGTGGATGAGAAGTAGATCCATTAGTCACGTGTCAGTGCGAGGGCAAAAAAAATGGAAAGTATTTTGCAGCTTTACTGAGAACAAACTGCTAAAAATGAACACCTATAGTTCCCATCAGATGAGAAAAAGTATGTTTTTCCTCATAGCAGTGCGTGATTCTTAAAAAAAAAGGAATTTCTAGGAAATATGGGAGAAAACTGATCACGTGATGAGTGATGAAGACAGGCAAAGGATCCTTAAACAGGAAACTCACATTGCATGAAAGTAAGTACAGAGAATAATCTCATTTTGCTACACAGAAAGGCGAGAATCGCAAAAAAGTGTGTAGCAGAATACAGCAAGGGAGAGCAGGGACTGATGGGTGCTTGAAGGGATCGATATATCGAACGTGGGGTCGATCGATATATCGATTCCTCTGAGTCGATATTTCCACAGGACCCTTCATACATCCGGAAACACGAGGGACTATTTTATGAGTCAAATATATGTATTTTCAGTTTTAAATGCTGAACACTTTTCTAAAAATTTCAAAAATATCGAGTCAAAATTTCAAGCCCTATTAATCTGCATGTTTAAGGGTATTGAAATGAATAATTTCTAAATGTGACAACAGCACTATAAAACTTGAATTGCATTTTCTCAGATTCTGAATTAACCTTTCTTTAACTTTAAAATATTTTGATAGGATTAAGTATTAGAGGTTGTTTTAGGTGGTTTTATACCAAATGATACCTGAATATTTGAATACTCCGCTGCACTCAGGTGGGTATCAAAAACTGCTTAATTTTTATTATTTGATGACTAAGGTGCCGATTTCCGTGGTCGGTCACGGTTATTGAAGTGCTGTCTTGATTTGTCCTGACGCTCCGTAAATATGCCATGATACAATGATGGTCCTTCAAAGTTCTACTTTGAAGGTGAGAGGGATGGGCAACAACGACTCGAAAGCATGAAGTAGGAAATAAAATCGGGGCAACGAACTCAACGAGAGTCATAATTATTTCCAAACCGATATTTACTCTCTAGCAGCCTCTTCCCCTGCCATTGTCCCAAATGACCGCGTTTTGAGCACAATACACGGCTTTATACAGAGTGTCCCAAGGTTAGAGGACTGTAATTTACGGCTCGATTCTTTGGGTAAAATTGATGAGGCTTCATTGTGGTGCAATTTTTTTTCTTTCCCTTTCTTTGGGGGTAAAAATGTTGCCCAAAAAGTAACCTTACCCTTCAAATTTCTAAAACGTAACTGACTTTTTCTCCAATTCTGCCCGAAATTTTGTTTCTCCTTCAATTTTATGAAGTGGACTTCACGTATTGCTCATCGCACTTTTCATTTTCGCGCTTAAAGTTAGTTTCCCATCTCTCGCACAGCTTTTTGGTTTTTTTCTCTCTCAATTAATTATGGTTCATACTCAAAATTGCACACCACTCAAAATGAAATTAAAAAATGTAACTTTAATGGCTACAGTTTTTTTTAAGTTAAAGAAGTTCATCATTACTTAAAAACAATCGGCAGTATTCAGCAGTACTGGTGATTCAACCTCAGAAAAAATATCTCGTAACCGATTAGTTGTCAGAAATATAAATGATTAGATCCGTGCTTTTGGAAAAATAACCCCAAAAAGTGGTCCAAAAATAAAAAAAGAAAAACCACTTACCTTCTCTACAATATTAAGGAACCTACATTTAAGCCCATAAATGAAAAGCACGATGAATAACATTAAAAACCTACTTCAAACTCTAGTGATGATGACTGTTGAAAATGCGTAGTTGCAAAGTCATCTCTTATAATTTCAGACTGCAGAAAATGTATCCCACTTGGGGAATATTGCCTGAGTTGTACAGAAACTTGGAAATAAATGAGAGGTGTTCATCTCAAGAACAAAGCATGATTCACTTGTAAAAAAATACTAACAGGTATATTTTAAATAAGCTTCTTAATCATGAAACATTTTAGGAAATTTGACGTTAGTACAGGTGACTCGCGTGCGAATAATTAAATGGACCGGTCGCGTGGTCGTCATCTTTACCAGGAAATGGTGGAAGGAAAAATAGAATTGTGGGAAGAATAATGAAGATAATAGTAAATGAGGAAATTTAGTGGGTCATTACTGCAAAGGAGGCGTTTTCGAAGAAAAATCCAACAAAAAAAGTCTCGTTTGACCGAGAGAATCGGACCGGAACATCCTGTATTGTGATACGGCTAGGCGCGGAGCTCGAATTTTTTCCACCCGAAAAACCCTGCCTCAGCGTCAGCGTGGGGAGCCGACTCGCTGGCACATATAAAAATGCGTCCGCATAAAAATGTGAGCGGAGAAAAATTAAACTTTCACAGCGTGGTTCATTAGTATAATAGTTACGGTCGAGCAGTGCGGTTTGCGAGGAGAGAGCGGTCGCGGGGACAATAATGACAAGCCCGTGCTTTTTTGTGGACCGGGGCCCTGGCCGGCCGCGGTCAGAGACATAAAAGGCGAAATTATGGAAAGTGGTGACTGGCGAGTGGACAGTTGCTGAGTGTTGAGGCCCGGGCGACATTTATTAATCAAGCGTAAAACGGGAAATGCTCGCATGTGCGCCCCGGCCGCGAATAGGAGTCGCGCGTTGCGTCGGGGTAGCGGCTCCACCGCCGGCAGAAGTCGTCGCCATTCAGCGTCGGTCGCCGTGAAAAGAGCTTTCTTTTCAGAAGAAATTTAGCGAAATACTCCATTTCAACGTGGATTTCAGTAATGGGGCTGTTGCAAACTTGCCAGTGCAATAGTGCTATTCTACGGAAAATCGCCGTGTGAACAGTCGGGGGTTGTCAAATTTCCGCCAACCAGAGGGTGTACGCCCCCTTCCCTCCTCCCGGTTTGCCCGAAAAATGTCGGGCGAATAAGGGAAGGAAGGAAGACGGGAGGACCGGAGGCAAGTAGAAGGAAGACTGCTTATACTGCCGTGCTAAGGAAGAACGCCGTATGAACCTTCAGGCGTCGCCAAATTTCCTTTGATAAAACACAACTTTCTCCGTAAAAATATGAATGTTTTTCTTCCAATTATACAGATAATTTTGTTCGCAATTTCACCCATAGTTCCTGAAAGTTTCAGGCAAAAATATTCATAAATTTCCTCAAAAATGAACATTTTAGTGACGGAAACTTAGCAACTCTCGCTTGTTCATACGGCGTTTTTCCTTAGCACGGCAGTATATGTGTTTATTATTCGTGACGAAACTGACTCAAATTGCAACTGAGATATGCTTAAGAGCTCGAGCATTATCTGGAGAAAGCCCCCTGCCCTCCCTCTCCCTCTGGTCCCCTCCGTTAAAAATTTCTAGATCCGCCAATGATTTAGATCTGATTGCGAATGAAAATATTTGAAAAATTGGAAGAAACATGTTCCCAGATTCCCTGGAAGATTCGTATTTTTCGAAGGACATCTAGCAACGTCTAAAGGCTTTATCGGTGCTCACGTTTTGCACGGCGGTAAAAGAGTTCTCTCTTGCAGAAAATAACCAAAAAATCACGATCAGCGCGTGTTGGGAAGGTCTTAAGTCTTCCTGGTTCCTGAAACCCTGCCTTCTCAACCTGCATAAGAATTTTGGGCATTTTGGTATCCCCTGCCTCAAAAAGTTTACTGTGACCCCCCCCCCCCAAAAAAAAAAAAAAAAAAAAAAAATTGACAGAGATGAGTTACCCCGATTTCTCAATTTCACGTCAAACTCAAACTGGCCGCCATCGTGTGGCACAGTTTCTCAAATAGAAACCAACAACAAAAGTACTTGTAGTTGTTAAATTTAACTTGAAAAGCAGGAAAGTGGTGATATCGGATGAATGATGTTTGTCGTGTTTTTTGTTCCTAAATTATAAGCTTCGACTCATGAAAACGACCAGTTTGGCGTGGAGTTGTGGAGCCGCGATGGCCAATCTTGATCAAATTGCGTCTGTGCACTTGAAGCGGGAGGAGTCAAAAATCGTATAACTACGAGGCCCTTTGCAATATGTCCCAATTTAAAATGTAGAAGGAGAGGAAGAAAAACTGGAGGATAATTTGCTCCAATTTTCTGGAAGAAAATTAACCGCAACAAAATAGAAAAAACCTTGGTCGAAGTAAATAAAATGCATCGACTTTAGATAAGATTGAATGAAGTGTGATACGCTTCTGATGAGGCACCAAGGACACCACTTCGACATGACCTTGACCTTCTCCCGTTATGATCCGCTCTTCGTATCGGTGCAGGGACTCAAGACTCGAGGGAGCTTATAAACTTACAGTACTAATTTGCTTCTCGTGCCCTAGAAGTGCCTCTATGGCAGTTGTGCGCGAAAGAATATTAGCGTCCCAGCTGGAGGCTAACAGCTTTTGGCAATTATCTGCCCCGGGTTAAAAGAAGCTCGACTCGAAACCTTAAAACGTTTAGCCTTTGTGAGCATGCATCACAGCTAATTAATTTCAGAAATAAATACTGGCATCATCACTCTTCCGCATAACATGCTCATTGAGTGGCCTTAATGATTGTTACACAAAAGTTTTAGATCAGGCTAGACTCTTGCACTAATGGACTGTTAGACAAGGTACGAGTTCCAGCATTCTGATTTATGTTACTGAACAGAAATTTTACGGAGAACACGATGCGCACGACAAAAATTACCGAAATCAACTCCTTACGAAGATATTTAATGATTCTTGATGCGTGAATTCAATCCATCCGCTCATGAAAACTCAATGCTCTACTGATGAAAAGGAGAAGCCCTTGGCGCGGCAATCGGCATGTAACACACATCAGCGCCTACAAGACTGCACGACTACTTCACGCATTGCATCAAACACAGTGTGGTT